TGCTAGAACTGAGTAAGGTGAGGAAAGACAGCAAAAAAAGATTTAAAAAAGTATCATACCTCATCACGAAGAGTTATTACTATAGTTGGGGAGATGAGACTTATACAGAAGAACATTGGCAAAAATATAATCAGATGTGTAGTTGTGGACTGTGACGTAAAGTGGGAATTCAGAAGTTTGGGTAATATCAATGTAGGCCTGAGTCATCAGAGAAAGTTTCATAAAGGAGACCAGGTGTAGTAGCTCATGCCTGTAATCCCAGCATTTTAGGAAGCCAAGGCAGGGGGATTGCTTGAACCCAGGGGTTCAAGACCATCTTTCTTTTTTTTTTTGAGTTGGAGTCTCACTTTGTCGCCCAGACTGGAGTACAGTGGCCGCTCCCGGCCACCGCAGCCTTGACCTGCTGGGTTCCAGCGATCCTTCCGCCTCAGCCTTCCAAGTAGCCAGAATTACAGGCGCGCGCTACCACGCCCGGCTGATTTTTTGATTTATTGTAGAGATGAAGTCTCGCTGCCCAGGAGGGTCTCGAACCCGCAGGCTCAGGCAATCCACTCACCTCAGCCTCCCAAAGACGCGGGATTACAGGCTGAGCCACCGAGCCCAGCTTCAAGACCATCTTGAGCAATGAGACCCCATCTCTATAAAAAAAAAAAAAAAAATTAAAAGCAAGTTTCATGAAGGAGGTCAGACTTGAGTTGACCTTTGAAGGATAGCTATGATTGGGATTTGTGGAGAATAGGAGAAGGAAGGGCATTCCAGGTAGAAGGCATAAAGAACATAGCATGAACAAAAACATGGGGACCAGAATGAGTAGGGCGTCTGGGGAGAAGAGCTTGGATGGAGTATAAAATTTGTGCCAGGGGCTATAGTAGGGGCTAGGCCAGGAGAGCACAGGTTGAGAGATGGCCTTTAATGCTCAGCTGCAGAATTGAGACACAATCCCAGGAAGGGCTTTTTTGATGAGGAGAATGATCGGAGAAGTTGGGCGTGTTGAGGATTCCTGTGGGACGAGAGGATAGGAAGCATTGTGGAAGGTGGGAGAAGACCTGAGACAGGGACCCCCGTCCACACACTTGCAGTGATGGACAGATAAAATAGAACAACTTGAAATGTTATTGGGGAACAATAGCAATAATAAAAACCTCAGTGAGTGTTTCTAGAATGCCTAGCTTGTGCTAAGACTGTTTTTCATTTTCATGAATTCTGCTAAAGCAGAATTGAAAAAATACTAACCATTAAGGTTATGAGACTCTAAAATGGAGTATTCCCCAACCTAGAAGTCTAGCAGACTCCCAAAGGTTAGTGACAGGAGGAATGAGTGAAATAACTTGGTAAAGTTTCTTTCAGGTCAGGGACCCAGGGTTTATACTTCTCCTCTGCCCTCTCCACCATGCTTTGACCTTTGTACCTCTTGTCTTTGGAGGTTTTCACACCAGGCACTGCAGCAGACACCCATGTTAAGTACCATGACTCCACTCAGTGCTCAGGGCGTCCAGGCAGGTGTACGCTCAACTTCCATCCTACCTGAGCAGCAGCAACAGCAGCAACAGCAGCAGCAGCAGCAGCAGCAGCAGCAGCAGCAACAGCAGCAGCAGCAACAGCAGCAGCAGCAGCAGCAGTACCACATCCGGCAGCAGCAGCAGCAGCAGATCCTGCGGGTAAGGCACTGGGGTTTCATCTGGGACCTGGTAGCCCAGGGAGAAGGAGAGGCACAGGCGCTTCACATGTTGTCACCAAGACTGAATAAGACAGTGTACGAAAACACCCAGCAGAGTGACTGGCCCGTAGTGGTGCTCAATAAGTTAGTTCTCTACTCTCTCCCTTTTGTTTTCTGGGGATCATAGTGAGAGAGAGTTGACATTGTCTGCTGGGTACCCTAGATTGGGTTTCTTTCTATGCAGCTGTCCAAGAAGGGAGGGCACTGGACCCAGAGTTCCCTCCTGCTTCTTCATCTCCTGTCCCCATCCCTTCACTAGTCTTAACTTCCTTGCACTGCTCTCCTTCAGCAGAATCTCTTCTGTTCCCATAGCAGCAGCAGCAGCAGCAGCAACAGCAGCAGCAGCAGCAGCAGCAGCAGCAGCAACAGCAGCAGCAGCAACAGCAGCAGCAACAACAACAGCAGCACCAGCAGCAACAGCAGCAACAGACGGCTCCTCCCCAGCCCCAGCCCCAGTCCCAGCCCCAGGTAGCTGCTGGACTACAGCCCCAGGCTCAGGGACAGCTGCCCAGGTTGGGCACGCAGCCAATGAACTGGGTTGGGGACAGTATGGATGGGGTAGAGGTGGGAGGCGAGGCATGGCACTCTAAAAAGTGATTGGGAGATGAGGATGAAGAAAGAGGTGGAAGGTTTGAGTTCAGTCTTCCACTTTCCATTTCCATCTCAGTTCCAGCGCCAGGGACTTCAGCAGACCCAGCAGCAGCAACAGACAGCAGCTTTTGGTCCGGCAGCTCCAACAACAGCTCTCCAGTAAGCTGCCTTCCTTCCCAAGGAGAACCCCATGGTATAAACAGGGGGATGGATGGGGCAAAAGTAGCTGAGGTGATGGCTTTGAGCCCAGGTTTTGGGGAGAAACATTCCATTCCTTCCCTTCCCTTGGTACCTGAATAGCTTTCCTCATACATACCCACATCCTTGCTTGGTCTTCCACCCCTGATAATCTCTGGTTTTTCACAGATACCCAGCCACAGCCCAGTACCAACATATTTGGACGCTACTGAGTCACCTGGAAGAACTGCTTGTGCACTGGATGTGGCCCCACCCTTTCTTCTTAATTCCCAGTCTCCTTCCGGGGCTAGCACCAATCGTGGTTGGGGCCCTCCCCTCAGGCTCCATTTTTAATGAGTTTTTAGTATTTTTGTTAATGTGAGACATTGAGCTGTTGGGTTTTGTATATTATTTATATAGAGACCTCCAGAGCTGTTGCACCCAATACACAGAGCTTCTTTGCAAAGGGACTGTGTGAGTTTTGCATGTCTGGGAAGGGTGGTTTCTCGGGAGAGTGCTGGGGGCTGGACCAACAAGTCAGAGTCTTCATTCTATTCAGACCATCTCTCCTGTTACCTTCCACTCCCCAAGCTTCTTAATTCTGACTGGATTTCTACCCTTTCTTCCCTTCTCCAGTCTGGCAACACGTTTAAGAAATGGGCCCAGTCTCTTAAGAAGGGCAGCTTACCATCTCAGCTAAATGTTGCAGCTTTTTTTTTTTTTTGAGTTGGAGTCTCACTCCATCGCCCAGACTGGAGTGCAGTGGCATGCTCCCGGCTACCGTAGCCTTGACCTGCTGGGCTCCGGCGATCCTGCCGCCTCAGCCTTCCCAGTAACCAGAACTACAGGTGCACACTACCACGGCCGGCTAGTTTTGGATTTGTTGTAGAGATGAGGTCTCGCCAACTGGCCCGGGCGGGTCTCGAACCCACGGGCTCAGGCAATCCACTCACCTCGGTCTCCCAAAGCGCGGGATCACAGGCTGAGCCACCGAGCCCAGCCATGTTGCAGCTTTTTAACAGCCTTTCTCCATGGGGGATATACCACTGGGATGGGGAGCTGCCATTAGGCCAAAGGAAAAATCAGTGGAACCTGATCCTCCTTCCATGATACACCAGATGCTGGACCTCATTCAATCTGGGGAGGGTGGAGATGACAGACACTGCCTACCCTTTTTGCCATCTTGTTTGGTTTTCCTCATCGTATACCAAGTGGCATTCTTTTCATAGGACAGAGAACTTCCCTGAAAGTTACATTTCTGGATGAAAAATTGCCCCTCATTGGCATGTGTCATCATAGAATAAGTGGTGGAAGGACGGTATGGCTCTAGGAGAAAGAGAGACCAGTAAGAAGCACTCTTTCCTCTCTCTGCCCTGCTGCTGAAACTGCTTATTTTCACATGACCCACCTTGGCAGTTACCCAGGATGCTGTTGCTCGCTCCTATTGTACAGTAGAAAAAACTCAAAACTGTTGCTCCAGAGTCACATTTGGAACTGCGGCCGAGCCATTCTTGGCCACCTTGCCTTCTGGTTTGGGCCCAGGATCCAAGGCTGTGCAGGGGAGCCAACTGGTTTACTACAATGAAGTCTTCTGGTCTGCCTAGCTAGGGCTGGAAGAATATTAGCCCCAACCTTGTGGGTGGGTGATGCAGGATGATTTGACAACTTAAGGATAACATCCAAGCCATAGTTGCATCATGTCACTGGGAAGTGTCAAGTGTGCTGGTAAAACCAATCAATGCCCAAATTATTAAAAACTTTAAAAAATAAAATCCCTCTTTGAGGCCCATGAAGCCCTCACTTATATGGGACTTAACAAGCTTAAGAGTTGTGTGCTCAAGGAATGGAACTCCCTGACAGGGTAAAGGCAAACATGACTGAAGTTTTCTTCTGACTAATTCTGTCCTGACATAAACATTCTGAGGAGCCACAGGGTAGAGGCTTAGCTGGAATAAGGGACACTCTGAGAGGCTTGGGGGTTACTAGAGAAACTGGACAGGTGCACCACATACAGAAACATAAGACACAAAGACACCAGATCTGGAGGGGAGTAAATGAAATGGTGAGACAACTGGCATGCTGACAGTCTGAGTCTTACATGCCCCAGCAGAAGCAGCAGAAGCATTGACCTTTGAGAGAGTGACAGGATGAGGGCAGAGTGGCCCCACAGGTTGCTGCTTGTGTAGTGCTGGTGCTGAGAGGTGAAGGATGCTGACTGAGGTGGAGGCGTGTTTTCCTGGAGTATGATGAGACTCTTGCCGGCAGCACCTCAGTTTCTTCCTTTGGGTCAAGGTCTCAAGCTTTGCAGGTAAAGTTTGGACTAGCTGCCTAGTCTGATAGCTTGCAATTTGGGGTGTATGTGTGTGGGAGAGAGAGAAGGGGAGAGACAGCGCCGGCAGAGCGTGCAGAACATGGGGGGAATTGGGCCATGCCCCAGGACTTGAGCCATCTCTGGCACAAAAGGAGTTAATGGCAGGGACCGCGCCCCCCCGTGTCCGGGCACGCGCAGCGCGCCCCCTCGGTGCGCGGGCACAGCAGCCAGGCTGCCGGAGAGCTGATCTCGGGGATTCGGGTGCGGAGCCCTTGGCCTGGAGGCGATATGGGTGGTCCGTGGCCCGGTTCAGTCGCTTGCAGCAGCCCGGGGAACAGGTGAGGCCGCCTGCCCCGGTCTCTCATCCTCTCGCTGCCCATGCCTTGCCCCTATCCCATCCCCTCCCAAGCCCAGGCTCTTCCACTCCCCAGCCAGTGGCCCCCATCTCTCTCAACCCCATGTTCTCCGTCGGCACCCCTGACCCTTCGGTCCTCCCCCGCTTTTCTTCTCTCCTCCACCTCCTCCCCTAAATTCGGCATCCTTATCATCCTCCCACCCGTGGTCCCTCTATTTCCACAGCTCGGCCTGCATGCTCATCAAAATACTCCTGTTGAGGGCCCCCAGCCCCATTCCTGTGTTGTACATTGCCAGTCCCCCCTCCCCTGCAGTGCAGCCCCATCCCCCCTCCATCATAGCATCTCATAGCCAGGATTCAGGATTCCCTCCCCCACTCGCTGCAGCCCCCCCACCTAATGGAGGCCTTTATCCTTTCCTCCCCCATTCTAATGCAACTCTATCCCCCAATACCATTCCAAACCCGCCTAGCCCCCAATACTGCAGTTCTCAATGCTGGTCCATTCATGCACAATGCCCCTGGCTCAATACCCTCCAACCCAGAAAGTACCCCCAGATGCCATTCTCATCCTCGGCATTGCTGCCTCCCCTTGTCTTCTCTCAAATTGCAAGTTGGACCAGGATGGAGATCTTGGCCTTGGGGACTCATAGTGGGTCCTAGGGTACAGAGGGCGTTTGGGGGTCGGTCTGTTTGTCTAGGTGTCCATGGGGGAGAGGCTGCAGGGAATTGACTCAAAGAGGAATTTGGCATTTGACGCCCAAGGGTTATTGGGAGGGAGGCATCCTGAAAGGGTTAATGGGATTCATGGGGTGGGCGGCGGCACTGAGGGGGTTAATGGGGGGGGTTGCTGGCGGGGAAGCCGTGTGAATGAGCGGTCTGTGCCCCGGAGTTGCCATGGAGACGGTGAATGGGGGGATTGTGTGAACTCAGCTGCGGACTATCCCCCCTCATACACACACCCACCCATTCCCTCCTGCCCCACCTCCCTACTCCTACCCCTTCCTTCCCTTCCTCTCCCCCCCCCCCCCCCCCCCCCCACCCGGGTGCATTCTGGGCAGTGTCTGGTATCTTCCCCCCCATACTTTGCTCCCCATTTCCCCATTTCCTCTGAGCCCCCACCCCTTTAGCGACTTTATCCCCCCTCCCTCTTCTTTTTTCTTCTCTCTCTCTCTCTCACACACACACACACACACACACACACACACACACACACACACATTCTCATTCCCCTCTCGTGGTGGCCGATTGCCGGGCGTTCCCAATCTCCCTCCCCCACCCCTTCAGCCAGTTCTTAAAGGAGCAGGCCTGCAATCTTGGAAGGCGGGAGAAATGGAGGAAAACCTAAATGTGCATGTGCGTGTGTGTGACCATGCGGGAGTACCTGTGTGTGCCTGTGTATATGTGTTGACGGTGTAACTGTGTCAGAAGGCCTGTGTGTCTGAGTGTGTTGCTATTTCTGTTTCTGTCTCCACCTATGTGTCACCATTATGCTGCGTGTGTCTCTGGATATTTACCTATGCGGGTATGTGTGATTATATTTCAGTAAGTCTCTGTGTGTGTCTCTGAATGTATCATTCTGTGAGGCTTTGGCTGTGTGAGGCACTCTGTCTCCGAATGTGGGACTATATGAGGGGATCTCTGTGGGTTTGGAATGTATGTCTCTGTGAGTGAATATTGCAGTGTCTGTGATCCTGACTTGGTCTCTCTCATTCCATCTTTGGGTCTTTGTAAGTTTATTTCTATGAGTCTCTGAGTGTGTATCCTCCACACTCTGTTGTTTATTTTACACTGTACAAGCATCCACAATACCTAGGGTGCTAGGCAGAATAATTTATGCCTCAGTTCTGGCATTCAGTGTCAATGAAGAGATAACCAACAGAAAGGACCAGGCTCAAGGATTTGGGAGCAATGAAGGCTGAGGAGAAATGTACAGGAGGCATGTAGGAAGGTCTGAGGACTCTGATGAATGGCTGTCCTACCCCCTGCTTGCCTGAGAGTGGGGGTCTCTCTGTGGGACCTTCTGTCCAGCAGCTGCTTTCCCTTCTTATGCCTTAGTGTCCCAGAGTGAGGTTAACACTCCAACCCTCTCCTGATGTAGAGGTCCCTGTGTGGGAGGACCTCGTCCCAGGGGCTAGATACTCAGTGTTCACGCAGCATGCCCCAGGACCGGAGCTCCATTTCCAGTTCTCCCCACCCCCTGGCTACCACATGCTGCTCTGGCTCCACCCGACCTGATGAATTCCATTGGCTATGGGGTTGAAGTTGGGGACTGTGAACTTGCAATTACAACTGTCCCTCTGTCAACCCCCTTGGATTTTTCGACCATGACCAGGCACATAGAATGGTTCTGACTTGTAATGGATCATCTGTGAGTCTCTGGAACCCTGGGCATGTGAGACCTCTCCTAACTATAAAATAGGCCCAAACCCAGCAGAGCCCCTAAAGACTCACTCTAGTCCTCCCAGACCATGTTGGATGACGCCTACTTCCCTCTTTCCACAGGCCTGTCTGGCCCTGAGGGAGTCCCCTTTCTGAAGCTGTGGTGCTTGGACGACCTGCTCTCTACGTTGCTGGGCACCTGTAGGTGTCCCTCGAGAGCTCAGTTTTGAGGTTCAAGTCAGTGTGGCCATGAAGGGGCTGCCTATTGGGCTGATGCTGTGACCCTGGAGTCTGCTTCTCCTGCCAGTCCCCCTGCTCGGAACATGTGGCTGCGGCTTGGCCCGCCCTTGCTGTCCCTGAGCCCCAAGCCCACAGTTGGCCGGAGCCTGTGCCTCACCCTGTGGTTCCTCAGTTTGGTGCTGAGGGCCAGTACCCAGGCCCCAGCACCCACAGTCAATACTCACTTTGGGAAGCTAAGGGGTGCCCGGGTACCATTGCCCAGTGAGATACTGGGGCCTGTGGATCAATACCTGGGGGTGCCCTACGCAGCTCCCCCGATCGGCGAGAAACGTTTCTTACCCCCCGAACCACCCCCATCCTGGTCTGGCATCCGGAACGCCACACACTTTCCCCCAGTGTGCCCCCAGAACATCCACACAGCTGTGCCCGAAGTCATGCTGCCAGTCTGGTTCACTGCCAACTTGGATATCGTCGCTACTTACATCCAAGAGCCCAACGAAGACTGCCTCTACCTGAATGTCTATGTGCCCACAGAGGATGGTGAGTTGCTGCAGCCAGGCACTGTGCCCTCCCTGCCTCCCGCCTGCCCTGTTGTGTTTGTGGCTTGCATGTGGTTGTGTGCCCTGCAGCATGCGTCTGTCTGTCTGTGAAAATGCTTCTAACCATCACTCAGCTTGGCCTCCCCCTTCCCCCTCCCTGTTCTTCCCTCCCCCAGCACTGTCTGAGCTCCCATGTGTGAGTGACACTGTTGCCAGAAGGGGCCTGGCCAGGCCTGAGAGCTGTGACAGGTCTAGGTCCAGTGCTGGATGGGGGTTTCCTGGGGGAGTATGGGTCACTGGTGGCAGCTGCCCGCGGGAGGATGCTGGCTCCACCAGCCCCCCCCCATTGCCATTCCACCTGCTTCAGAAGGTAGTAGGTGTGTGTGGCCAAGGGAGCTGGGTGTGTGGGGGGGCGGGGGGCAAGCCTGGTGGGCAATGCCTAGGTGCCTCCTCTTTCACCAGCTGATGCCTCCTCCCGCGGGGGTCATACTAAGGTAAGTGACAGAAACAAGGAGATGGTGGGACAGGCTCTCTGCCATGTGCCGCCTGCAGAGCAGCTCAGCTCTTGGGGCCTGGGGGTGGGGGGGTGCATGCCCCTGGGCAGAGGCCTCCTGTTATTTTTTAGTTTTTTATTCATTTTACAGTAAAGCGGATTTCCAAGGAATGCGCCCGAAAGCCCAACAAGAAAATTTGTAGGAAAGGAGGTAGGTAGCGAGCCGGCGGGGAGGGAGAGAGAGAGAGAGGGAGGGCTGCCTGCCCACCTGCCCTTACCCCTGAGGACCCAGCCTTCCTTCAAGTAGCCCAGGCTCAGGGGGCTGAGTAGGCATAAGCTCCACCTCATCCGAGGGCCCTGGCTGCTTTTCAGGGAGGATTTGGTGGTCTAAGGCAGGTTCAGAGCAGAAGCAGAAACCCCATTTTTTCCAATCTTCCCAGCCCCAAATTCTACCCTAAAGTGTGTACCAAGGACAGAGCTGGTGGCTCTCTTGGTGACACCCCAGGAGAAACTCTAGGGAGCTAAGATAGAGCCAGAGGCTCCACCCATTTCCCAGTGGGGGAGCCACAAGACCATCCCTTCCGCACTCCCCCCACCCCATGAAAGTCTAGACTCAATTCTTTCACTCTGAAGCCTAAACCAAATATGTGTACACAGGTTTAGCAACTCCTGCCACACACCTGCCCTCCCTCCTCATCACCTCAGGCCAGAGCATAGTGCCTCTGACCAGGCTGCTCTGGTGGCAGAACTTGGGGGTCTCCGGGAACTATATACTCTACAGGAGGCATGAAATCCAGAATTTTACATTTACCCTCTGGCTGAGAGGAATTTATCCCTTTGTATAATAATTCTTCCTGTTCCAATACCACTTTGTTTTCTACAAAGTGCTTTCATATTTACCTCATAAAATCCTCCCCACGTCTCCGGAAGCATATAAGACAGGAATCACTCAGTATCCCAATTTTACGGATGAGGAAACAGGCCCAGGGGAGTGACTTGCTGTGGCTCAAGGCCCTGTCGCTGGTCTGTGGCAGAGCTGGAACCAAAACCTGGGTCTCTTGACCCTCAGGGCGTGTTCTTTCCACTGTAGCACACGCACGGAAGCAACTCCCATCTGGTCATTCCCACCTCCCCAACTCTGAAAAAAAGGATGAGATGTGGATGGGTTGGGCCAAATTGGAACAGTGACAACCTAAGGAACAGGTGGACCATCACAACTTGATCCCTACAACCCTTTGGTCAGCTTGGAGTTTGTTTTCCTTTGATGTCCTAGGGCAGGGTTTCTCAGAGTGGGATTGTCAGGATTCCTGGGATGGGGTGCTCCCTACTGAATAAGAATCTCTGGGGGGTAGAGCCCGGGAATCTACATGTTGAACATGAACCCTGAGTGCTTTTGATGCACAGTGAAGCATGGACTGAGACCTGCTGTCCTAGGGATAGTGTTTCATCACATCCCCATACCCAGTCCAGGACCTCACATACCACGGGCAATCAGTCAATGTTTTTCAGGCGAATGCAGCATTGTGGTGCTGTAGAAAGAGTACAGGTCTGGGAAGCACAAAACCTGACTGAGTCCCAGCTCTGCTGCCAAATCACAGTGAGATCTCTGTTGCCATATCTGGAGGTGGTAAAGGACAATTCTGTCCTTAACATTCCATTAGCTTATAAATGAACTCAGGAAGAATGTCTCGTGGGTTGTTTTGGTTTGGTTTGGTTTTGGTTTCTGAGACAAGATCTCACTCTGTTGCCCAGGCTGGAGTGCAGTGGCATGATCCTGGCTCACCACAGCCACAAATTCCTGGGCTCAAGTGAGACTTCATCCTCAGTCTCCTGAGTAGCTGGGTCTATAGGTGTGTGCCACCACATCTAGCTAATTTTTTTGTAGAGACAAGGTCTCACTATATTGCCCACACTGGTCTCCAACTACTGGGCTCAAGAGTTTCCCACCTTGGCCTCCCAAAGTGCGGGGATTATAGGCGTGAGTCACTGCACCCAGTCGGAGAAGGTCTCTTAACCCTGCACCTATGAGTTAATTGGTAGGGTGAAGAGAGGAGATGGCATTAACATTGACCATTTCTTAGGGAAAATGATCTCCCGAGGACTCCAGTAAAAGCCTAAGGCTGTCCAGTCCAGCCTTGAGAGTTTGACCAGAGAACTGACTGGAAGCCTCTGCTCAAATACACACATTTACCAGTCATGATTATTGACTATGGGCTAGGTGTTGGAGGGATGTAAAGTAGAGGAAAGATTTAGAAATTACTAAAGGCCTCATCGCTGCTCTGAAGAAGCTCCTAGCCTGGTATTGAAACTCAGCAGGTCTCCCCAAGCCTCACAGGCCAGTCAGGAAGCGGGTTCCAGATAGTGTTAGGGAGGACATTTGGTCATTTCGCTGTTCAAATTAGTTCCCTCTCCAGGGCCTGTTGGCCATTTGGAACAGTTACAAATCCTGCCTCTTTGGGGAGACCCATACCCACAGGTAGTGAAAGCTGTGGTGTGCGTAGGTCTGGCGGGCTGGCCTGGTTGGGATCCTGCAGTGGCACAGCATCTGGATATAGTGGTGGGAGGTCAAGCTGGCCTGGGTGAGAGGCATGGCAGCAAGAAGTTGCTCAGCAAGTGCCAAACTGAAGGAGAAAAGACATCCATGCAAAGAAGGCTGGAATGATGCAGCAACCCAAGGACATGCTCAGATGGGGACAGAGGGGATATACCTTCTAAGTCAGGGATGTTGGGAAGTGAAGGGTTTCCTGGAGAAGACCCGCCCCATCCTCCACTCCCTACTGCTATCAGGTTGAAGGGACTTTATGTCTGGAAATGAATGATGCTTTTCCACCTGGTGGGCCATCCACTGTGTGGGGTGATGATGGCCATGCCCCATAGGGTTTCTGAGGTTAGTACTGGCAGGTGTTGAGCCAATGGTAGGTGCCACCCAGGAAGTCCAGGTAGCTGGAGGTGGTTTCTGCCCTAAGGCTCTTGCCCTAGTTGAAAAGCCATTTTGAAGTATGAGAGCAGTTTCTGGTTTGATTAGTAACTATGAGGAAATCCAGTCACCAGAGTCCAGACCAGCTGGGAAAGAGTGCTATTTGCTACCTCCAGGCTGAAGCTATCTGGTGTCATAGATGCAAGAGGGCAAGCCTTGGAGTGCCAGGAGAATCACCTCTGTTTCCACGCACTGGCCAGCATCCAGGAAGTAGGTCCTCTCTCGCCACAGCCATTGTCAAGACGCACCTCTAGTATCCTTAGAACAAGAAGAAGAATTGGTGCCAGCTTAACCCCAGATCCTAAACATTTCTCCCCTCTAGTCTTCTTTTCTCTGCTCTCCTCCACTCCCCTCCTCTCCCCTCGCCTCCACGCTCCACCACTTTTCTCATTTATTTCTTCCCTTCTATTTTCATTCCTCCACCCAGAAAGGTGACTTGGTGCAGTGGAAAGACCATGGGCTTTGGAGTCACGCAGACCTGGGTTTGAATCACCTCTAGCTCTTCCTAGCTGTGTGATCTTGAGCAAGTCACTTAACCTCTCTAACCCCAGTTTCCCCATCAGTGAAACAGGAATAAGGATAGTACCTACCTCATTGGGGTGTAAGGATCTAACAATATGGCAGAAGTAGAGTCTCTGGCACATGGTAAATATTCAGTACAGCTATTGCCATTATTCCTATCTCTTTGTTTCTTCTTTCCTCCTCTTCCTCCTCCTCCTCCTCCTCCTCCTCCTGCTTCTTCTTCTTCTCTCTCTCATCATCATCCCTTTCTTCTTTTCCCCTTTCCTCTTTCCCTCCCTCCCTCTCTGGCTCTCTCTACATCTAAGAGCAATGCTTGCTGCTCTCAAGACTGGTTCCTGTGAACAGGAACCCCATTTGCCATTAACCAAAGCAGGGGGCTCCAACGAGGAAGACCAGAGGGAAAGCTTCATCTCCCATTTTCTCCTGTGGGAATCGGGGTCAGCTGAGGCCCAGCTTGAGCTTGCCGACTGGGCTCCAGCAGCTCAGGCCTGGGGTTCCTGGTACATGTCTCTGCCTTAAATACCTCACATGCTGGCAATGTCACTCCTCACCCTCAGTACCTGGCCCTGCTCTCCAGCTCTACCTGCCTGTGTACACACGCGCAGCCCCTTCCACCCAGGATGAATCCTTCCCAAGTGGGTCTCTGGCTTTGTGCCCTGGCCTACTTGCTACTACCTCCTTCCTAACTGCGAAGGTAGTTGGTTGAGATGGGCTGTTGGGGACAGGGAGGCGGGGCAGGGAGGTACAGAGAGGCCAGCACAGCAGAGGCCTGCAACACCATCATCCTGATGAAGGTCTGGGCCTCAGCCCACCCATTCCCTCAGTTCTTGCCATCCCTCCTGCCTGTCCTGGGCTCAGGCCCAGAGCTGGCTTGCTGGGCCACACTGCAGTCATGCTGTTTTTGAATTCTCTCTCTGTTTTGTTCTCTGTTCTGTGCTGTTGTGTCTCCCCGTGTCTGGTCCCCAGGATCCGGCGCTAAGAAACAGGGCGAGGACTTAGCGGATAATGACGGGGATGAAGATGAAGGTATTTGGGGACTGCAGGGCGTGGCGGCTGGTGCATGGCACAGAGCCCCTCCCCTTTTCGATGGGGAGAAGCCCCGTCTGTCTGTCTGTCCGTCCGTTGGTGTGTTTCTGTTCCTGTACAAGGCCGTTGGGCTGTTCATCTGTCTTTGGCCTCGTTGGCCACTGGGAGTTCCAGGGTGATGAACATGGCTGGCAGAAGCAGGGGGCCACAAGCAGAGCCATGGGAGGGCATTCTCCTCATCCCAGTCCCCCACCCCTCCCCCATCCTCTAGGTTCATGGGCACCTGTCCCTACTGAGCAGCAGAGAGAGTGGAGAGAAAGCAGGGCTGGGGGAGGGCAGGGAGAGGGCACATAGGAAACCGGATTGCAAAGAGATACCTGTGTTTCATTGAGGAGACCCCATGTCTTACAGGGAGCCTGGCTTCTGGGAGAGGGGCCCAGCAGGATGGTAAACTGAGGAGTGAGACAGTCACAACCAAAGGGGCCAGAGAATAGCAGCACCTAGAACCTCCTCAGCCTTCTCCCAGAAGGAGAGAGATGGTCGTGGAGCCGGGAGCTGCAGTAGATTCAGGGCAGTGCAGAAAGACTGGGCTAAAATGCCAGGCTGAGGCCAGGACACCACAGCCGTCAGTAGATGGCATAAGATCCTTGAGTGATGATCAGACCAGCCTGCCTCCTTGGGGAAACAGGTTCTGTTTGCTCCACAACAGGGAACAAGCCCTTCTACCTCCATGCCATGGTCCTGCCCCTTTGCCCCTGGAGGGGCCAGACAGCTCAGAGGGGCCCACTGGTGATGGGTAGGGCTGTGCTGGTATGTCAGAGTGTCGGTCCAGCTCACAGACGGACAAGCTACGGGCAGAGGTGATCAGGCCTGGAGCCTTCTCTTGACTGCCCCAGCCCTGATGCCATGCTGCTGGGGCTTGGGAGCAGCCACTTGATGGTCCCTCGTTGAATGGCCTCTGGGGAGGCTCCATCTTCATCATAATGCTGACTGGGAGCAGGGTCTCTCATCCTTAGTTTTGCCCCATCCCCGGTGTTTCTGGTGAAGTCTGTCCAGAGAAAATGGGGTAAATGGGCACATGGCTGAGAAACCATATCAGTAAGATTCCCCACCCCATCTCTGCCATTCACTTCCCTTTCCCTACATCCTTCCTTGTTCTCTCCCTGTGCCACACCTCTTGTCTCTGTCTGCACTGGGGGGCCAGCTGCTGCCAATGGCCATTTTTCCATGTAATTGATTTAGTCTTGGGGGTTTCAGGGCTCCCCAGCCCCTGCTCCCTAAAGCCATGTCAGGTCCCAGGACTCCTGGGTGCCCAGGGCAGGGACTCACCTGATGCAGCTAAGGGACCAGCCCTTCTTCTTCCTCTTCCCCCTAGGGCTCAGCTGTGACGTAGGCCTAGTTGTATCAGGCATGCCTGCCTGCCTTCAGCTCGGAGGCACTTGAAACCAGTCTTTAAAAACATTACTGAAGTCCAGCTGTCTCGTCAGTGCTTGAACTCCAGGCTGAGCAGCCCCATGAGTCCTGCCCTCAGGGATGGCAGTGGTGTCCTGGCACCTGGGATAGCTTTGTTGCCCACACCCCTCCAGGGCTGGCGGGGGTGGGGGAGGAAGGGCATCCTACCCAGCCTGTGTCTCACCCCTTCTCCTTGCAGACATCCGGGACAGTGGTGCTAAGCCCGTCATGGTCTACATCCACGGAGGCTCTTACATGGAAGGGACAGGCAACATGATCGATGGCAGCGTCCTCGCCAGTTATGGCAATGTCATCGTCATCACCCTCAACTATCGGGTTGGGGTGCTAGGTATGTTTCCCTGTCAAGTGCCTAGAAGGAAGACTGGCTTCTCAACGGTTGGGTTGCGGGGCAGGGCGGGGGATGGGGGAAAGAATGCTGGGGAGTTAAAAAAACAAAACAAAACAGGTGGCCTTGGTTCTCTAGCTGGCATGAATGACCATAGTCAAAATGTTGTTATCCCATGGCCCCTACCCAAGTGCTGTGGGCTTCCCCGTATCCCCAGGCCCTTTCTCGGAATGTTTAGATGCCAATGGAAATTCAATTCAAACTTCACATCTTTTCTTAGGTCCCAAACCAGGTCTCTGTTCCCAAACTTTGGCTTGGTGAGTTTTGTAGGGTACCTCAATTTTCCAGTGTCCTATCTCCATCTCTACCCACCCACCACCACATCCCTAAACACCCCACCCATATACAGATATTTCTTTTAGTTCACCCAATATTCACACACTCACTTATCCTCTTGTGTCTACACATCCACCCCCTATCCATCCCCAGGCATACAGTTATTCCTCACTCACCCCCACAAAGCACACACACACATCCGACCCCATGTCCACATCTGTAGGCCCCCTCACACATAAACACATTCTTCCAGCACTATGTACACTCCATGCATATAGTCTCCCCCGAATACATATCTACATACCCACACACTTTATACACTCCATGTCTACACCCTACAGATATCTCTCACCTTCTGTAGATACACACACACATTCTCCTATACTTCTCTCCCCATCTCTACAGTCACATCTGTACCCTTACATACTACACATAGTCACATTCACTTTCCTCTACCCCCATATTTACACACCACACAAAGATCCACACCCTGCATGTCCATGTCCACACCCAAACTCCACACACATACACCTTAAATATACATAAATATTCCTTTCACACACCCCCACACAGACCCACACATACATACCCATATCTCCTACACACCCCATCTCCGCATTCACTTCACACACCCACATACTCCACACATACACACACCTGTTTCTCCCTCATCTTCTCCATGTAAACACAAACCAATATTCCTCCTCCCTATGCACATATACCCTTACTGCATGTTCACATAGCCCCACCCCACACATACACAAATACCACACACACATACACACACACCATATCACCATATCCCTGCTTCCATGTCTTTATACATCCTATTCACTACACCTATATATTTCCCCCACATATATACACACCCATAGATATACCCCCCACATACACATACACAAATACACATTTACACACTCTTCCATACCTACCCTGCATATGTACACCCAATGCATACACAAATATATACACATGCATGTATCTAGAGCTGCATCTATAGCTCTACATGCACACACACCTCCACCCCTCCAACCACACTTATGCATCCCCCACACTTACATGCCACACATGTGCACATGTACACATTCCTTCTACTCTCTCTGTGCAGATATCCTCATACACTCCTACCCCATTACACATACATACTCTCATACATACACACTTATTTTCCAAACACCTCCTCACATGCACCCATACACCCCTCCCCCATATACTCTACTGTGCACACATTTGTTTTGGCAATTTAGGCTGTCCCTCTACCCTATATCTTCCTTGGTGACCATCAGTGCCCATCTGTGACCAAGGTCTTGAGGTAAACAAAAGCTTCAGAAAGGGTGACTAAGCATACAGGGCCTTGCTTCCTTTCAGATGCTCACCTATGCTCTGTATCCTTGTAGTGGCATGAAGAAGCCAAATTCTTGCCCAGAGGGTTTGTATCCTCAGAATTCCAGTGTGCATCTAGGCTCTTGGTCAGGTTTATAGGCCTGGGTGATGAACTAGTAGCTAGGCATGGCTTACTCTATTCATCACCAGGTGGGGTATACAACATTTTATTTTATTATTTTATGTTTGAGATGGAGTCTCACTGTGCTGCCCAGACTGGTCTCTAAATCCTGAGCTCAAGTGACCCTCCCACATTAAGGATCTTATTTTAATTGACTTTGAACTGTATTGCTTTGTCCGTTCCAATTCCAGAGGCCCTGGTGCTGCATTTCACTTCCAGTTGTGGCTGTGTGCACAGAATGGCAATCTCTTCTTGACTTACTGTTAAGACTATGTGGGATATAGAAAGGTACCTTTTTTCAGTTCAAACTGGAGAAATGATATTCCCTGAAAAAAGCAGAGTCTGTGTCCCTGTTGGTGGTACCTGGAATACTGGATATGGAGCATAGAGAGCATCACCCTGGTCTCTCCACAGTCTGGTGGGCTTTGGATTTCATGGTTTTGCCCCTGCTCCTCTGGTTTCCTGCAGTGCCTCAGACACCATGGTGAGGCTCTTATAAACTGTTCTGTCCTGTTGAGAAAGGGGATCTGAATCTCATGGTACATGAAGGTTGCTGTAAACCCACACACTAGGGCTGCAGTTCCAAAAGGGGAATAAATGCACAAACATGATCACACACAGGTATATAGACACACGTACACAGTAGCTGGAAGCCAAAAGTAAGTGTGCTGCTTTCTTTTCTTAGAGTGATAGAAAACATTCAAAACATTCAGCTGCTTTAAAAATTATAAACGCATGCTGGGCATGGTGGCTCATGCCTGTAATTCCAGCAATTTGGGAGGCTGAGGTGAGAGGATTGCCTGAGTCCAAGGGTTCGAGACCAGCTTGGGCAATTTTGCAAGACCTTGTCTCTACAATAAATCAAAAAATTAACCAGCCATGCTGGTGTGTGCCTGTGGTACCAGCTGCTTGGAAGTATGAGGTGGAAGGATTACCTGAGCCCAGCAGGTCAAGGCTGCAGTGGTCATGAGTGTGCCACTGCACTCCAGCCTGGGCGAGAGAGTGAGACTCCTATTAGAAATAAAATAAAATAATAAAAACTACAAACACAAAGCTCTGGAAACTACAGATAATACTAAGGATGAGCTTCAGTTCCATATTATCAGACCAGATAGGAATGAAGAACAAGAGAGTGGGGCAGAGAGGGGGAGAGAGAGGAGAAAGTAAGGAAGTAAAGAAAAGGACTAGAGAGAGAAAAAAGAGGACAAGAGAGACCCAGGGGGAGAGGCAGAGAGAAGACAGAAGGGGAGACTTAGGATCTGAGTAGAGACTCAGTATTTCACATAGGATGTGACATCTCCACAGTGTCCATTGGGAGCTGTGGGCTGCACAGTCTGTTACTGGTGAGCACTCCATATGATATTCTGGTTTGCTGATTAACTTCACAATCCTTCAGATGCTGTAATTCTTAAACTTCTATATCAGAAGTTCTTGACCTTTTGGGGAGTCTTGGACCCTTTTGAGATTCTGATGAAAGCTGTGAACTCCCCCACAGAACAATGCGCATGCATGCACACACACACGAAAACAATTTTACAGATCCCCCTGAAGCCTATCCATGAAATTCAGGTTAAGAACCCCCACTTTACGGCTGGGCTCAGTGGCTCAGCCTGAGCACTTTGGGAGGCCTAGGTGAGTGGATTGCCCGAGTTCACAGGTTTGAGACCAGCCCTGGCAGCGTGGCAAGACCTCGTCTCTACAATAAATCAAAAAATTAGCCAGGTGTGGTAGCACACATCTGTGGTTCCGGTTACTTGGAAGGCTGAGGTGGAAGGACTGCCGGAGCCCAGTAGGTCGACACTGGGGTGGCCGTGAGTGTGCCACTGCACTCCAGCCTGGGCGACGGAGTGAGACTGCAACTCAAAAAAAAAAAAGAACCCCCACTTTACAATCTTCTCTCGTTTGGATAACCAGAACAGCATATCTGGGGGGCAGCAATATTATTCACTGGGCTTAAGCATTTGATGATCAAAATAATATTACCCAAAATTCAGAAGGAGTCATAAACTGAGATTTGGTTTGAAGTTCTCCAGCACTTCCTGTGTACCCTCCAGTTCCTGTTCTGGAACACAAATATAATCAATAAGCCACTGATTGGATTCCGGGTACATACAAGATGTTTTTGTCTCTTGGCACCAGATGTAGAACATGGGTTGGTCCCTGACGCTTGGGGATTTTGCTGTATTATGGAGGCTTTGTTATTTTGTTTCTCAGAACAGGTGGCCAGTTTTGGACTCCAATTCCATGCATTCATTCACCCTCCCGCTCATCAGCTTCTCCTGAGTACTGAGCCCAAACAGACAGTTCACTAGAGTGAAACTTAGAAAGTGCTGCTCTAGACATCTTGGGTGATTCACATATGTTGACAGTGTCACAGGCTAATCCATGGCTTCCCTCCAAGGCAGAGGGTAGCTATTATTTGAGAAGGTCCCACTGGGCTTGGGGCCAACAAAAGAAAGGGACTCCAGCAGTATGTAGGATGTGGATTTCCCTAAGGCTGAGGAAGTAGGGATTTGCCAAATTTTATTCTGGGTTCCAGAACTTAATCCAACATCCTTGCTCAGGTACCCTCCAGGCAAACTGAAAACCTGGTAGACATCAAACCTTGAGTGATACAAATATCTGGTCTTATTACAATCTGCCAGATTCCCCCATCTTCTGTTGCCAAGCAATTTACCATGTACTGCAGAATAAACTCAGGCCTAGGGAGACTGGTTCAGATTAATTCTGACAGTTTATGGAGTTTGGTATTTCAGCCTTCATTCTCTCATGGGTTCTGTGAATGGCTGAGTTATTGGAGAACTAGCAGCGAGTGACTGCTCCCCCAAACTGCCAGATTTTGTGTGCTTGTGGTCAGTCACACTTGCTACATCATCTGCCTGGGCCTGTTGGATATAGTGCTTCAAGCAGGACTCTTCTTGTAGTAGGGAATGTTGACATGGTGTCATCCACATGCTTCAGGGCCCCAGAGGCTTGTGGGATCTGAGGGAACAGAGAGTGATGGTCAAATCCTCACCCCCCTTTCAGGCCTTTGTTCCTAACCCAGGCATCAGTACATGTTGGAGAAACCTACTCTACTACATCCAAATGCAGGCTTTTCCTGCTGATTAGGACAGACATGTTTGACACATTTCACTAAATCATACCTTGGTAAAGACTGAAGCCAAGTCTGTGATTGCCTAAATGAGAGAAAAGAAAAAGAGAATATTGGGGAAGGAGAGAGGAAGGAGGGAGAACTAAGAGAAGCATATAGTGATTTTTGCCAGAGGGTCTCAAGGCTCGCGCAGCTGGATCAAATCTTGGTCAGCATAGTTTTTAAGGTTTGCAGGAGTAGCTTCAGTTTCTGAATGGCCCAGGCGAAGGAGAAGCTGGTCGCTTTGTCTGGAGGAACAGGGGCTCCTCTGTTCATTTTCATTCAGCCTTTCTCTAATTCCTTCTCATTTCCTCATCTGGAACCTAGGGCTAAAGAGGACTTGTAACTAGATCCTGGGAGGAATAACTAAGTGCTTTACATACTTAATTGTACCAAAGATAAATTAATAACACACTTGAAGAAGGTGTGATGAGCTCTTTGGTAGAAGCTAGGTACAGAAGAACTTGAGAAAGACTGATGAGATCTTGTGCTTGATTCTATTTGAATTCAGCCCCTGCCCATGAACTGCAAGACAGCCAGAGAGCTCTCCATGAGCTGTGAGGGCCTCTTCAAACATGGCCTCTCACAAAGTTGATTCCAGGTGCTGTGAATGAGTTTTTAACTGGGGAGTCAAAAAAGACTGATCCAAGTGTGGGTTTCCAATGTGTAGGAGCTCTACAATTACCCACCTGCAAAGAACCCTTCCAAAAACCTTGGGCAGAAGATAGAAGCTTCCAAGGAACCTGAGGATCTAGGGAAGAGAGATGAAATGAGGCAACAGAATCAGTCTAAAATGGAAGTGGGGTGGGGGGGGATATAGGACATCTCTGTGGGATAGCCAGCAAGTGGGCGGGAAGGTAGTCTCCATGGCAACAAGTCTCCGCAGCAGCAAATCCCAGCAGGTGGGTGGGAAGGTAGTCTCCATGGTGACATGTCTCCTCAGCAGCAAATCCCAGTTGGGGGGGAACTTGTTTCTGTGGTAACGCACTGCACTGACTTCCCCATTCTCCACCAGATGAAAAAGATGGTCTAACCCAGTGGTTTATCAACTTTAGCAACCATCAGCATCACCTGGAGAGCTTGTTAAAAACAGATTGCTAGGCCCCACCCCCAGAGTTTCTGATTCATTAGGTCTTGGAGCAAAGGAAATGACGACCCGCCCTGAGAGTAAGGGGAAGGGGGCCATCGAGGCCCTGGAAAGAAGTGGAGATGGACTAATTTGTACAGGAAAGGCAAGGAGAGCTTAGGAAGTGTTGCTTCTTGGGATCTTCACTTCCTTTGGAGAGAGAAGGAAGGAGAAAGAGACGTAATCATAGATCTACAATGTACTGAGCATGTTATAGATGCTTATTTCCATTTTACCCTTCTTCCAACCCTGTGAGGCATTTTCATCCCCATTTTTACAAAGAGGAAACTATGGCCCAGAGATTTTAAACAACTTTCCCAAGGCTACATGGCTAGGATGTGATAGAGGCAGGATTCAAATCAAGGACTATCTGACACCAAGGTCCCTGCTCTCTGCACTGTATTTTGCTAGATGTTAATATCTGAGGATAATCCATCAGGACAGAGGATGCTGAATTCTGGCTACTTGCAGTTCCTGCAGTTTAAGTCTCCCACCAGGAGGCATTCACCTCAAATGATCTGCAGGCTCCTCCTTCCAAACTGGATACTGGGTGGGAGGCAGCTAGCTTATTCTTCTTATACTGATGAAGCTGGACCTTGCAGAAAGGTGCAACGGTTTATGTTAGCTAGGCGGAAAGAGCTACGCTGAATGCTCATCCTCTGTCCCCACCTTCCCGACTCCTGCCTGCCATCATAACTGAAATCCTCCATCCCTTGCCTTCACTGTCCTCATGCCCTTTGTTGAATCCAGGTTTCTTGAGCACTGGAGATCAGGCTGCCAAGGGCAACTATGGGCTCCTTGACCAAATCCAGGCCCTCCGCTGGGTGAGCGAGAACATTGCCTTCTTCGGAGGAGACCCCCGCCGTATTACCGTCTTTGGTTCAGGCATCGGTGCCTCCTGTGTCAGCCTCCTTACATTGTCACATCACTCTGAGGGTGAGTAGCTCTTGGGACAAAACATGAACTAGATGAGTTCTGGCTGTCCACCCTGAGCCCCAGGCCTTTCAGGTTCCAGTGTGCCCAGTTCCATGCCTTAGGGGCACCTGAGGGAATCAGTCAGCTCTTTTCTACCAGCTTAGTATCCCTTTGGGGAGAAGGGAAAGGGAAATGTTTCTCTGGGGGAAGAAGTACTTCTCCCAATGAGAGAAGTAAGGAAGAGAATCCCACTGACATCCTGAGAAAGCAAGATTCTCCTTCTGATATGGGAGCCTTATTTGGGAGAGTGGGAATAGAAGAATTGTCCTCTGTGGGGACAGTAGCTCTTTTTGGGCAGGGGAAATCTTTCAGTATGGGAAGAACATGTTCCTTCATGGTAGAGATCTAGGGTAGGAATTGGTTTCTAGGTGTAAGAAACACTCATTCTCTCCCTTTCTCTCTGAAGAACAGGTCTGTACAAGAGGGGAAATGTCTTTGAGGGGGAAGTGGGGTCGAAGCAAGAATCACTAACCTGTGAGGTGGGCTTCTTCTGAGTGATGATGGTCTATTATCAGACCCCAGACCTCCTCCTGGGCTGTGCAAGTCACCTAGGGGAGACTCTCATTTTTAGCTTCTCTCCTTGCGGTGGGTCCCTCTGCCAGTGACCCTGCCAAGGGGGTCAGATGGGCCCTTTTCTGCTCAGCAGGAAATGTTCTCTCCACCTCTGCACTACAGAGAATATTCTATCTCTGAGAGGCAAAGCTGAGCTTCTCATGAAGAAAAGATCCTCCTGAAATAGGTGCCCTTCTCTGAAGTAAGGAAATCTGTGAGAGAGGATACCTTTTTTTCATTGAAATCAACCCATGAGTTAGTGGTATTCTCAAGGAAGACTTTCAGTCTCTCTTTGAAGAAGATCTGTCTCTCTGAGAGAAGAACCACCTTCTGTGACCTAGAAATTCTGCCTCTGCCCCTCCAGGGACTACCCTGGTGAGGGAAGACTAAGGTGGGATCCGCATTTCTTTTCTTTCTCTCTCTCTTTTTTTTTTTTTTTTTTTTTTTGAGTGGGACCTGTTGGGGGATCTGAATTTCTAAAGAGAGAGAATGTGTTCCTAGGTGAAAGTAGTAGGAACAGGAATCCCCTTTTCCCCAAAGGAGGGTGGAATATCTGGCTGTGAGGGTACCTCTGTCTGAAAAGAAGTCCTGTGCCTATTTTTCCAGTAGCAGAGGGCCTTTCCTGGAGTGATGCTATGCTCTGTCTTATAGGGAGCCTGTGTCTCTGGAGATTTGGCTTCTTTAAAGGTTTCTTCTCTCTGTCCTTCTGTAATTAACTCATGGAGAATAATCTTTGGGAAAATGAGACTCTCTCTTAAGTAGTAATCTATATTTCTCTCCCTCTCTTTCTACCCATGCAAACTGCCTTCCTCTTAAAGAAATGGAATTATGTGCCTGAGGACCAAATGCTTCCTTGGGAATGTTGGGATCAGGGAGAGAATGGTACCCTTTTTTTCCTAGAGGGGAAAGAATTATCTTCCTTTTGAGTATGGGGTGCTGGCTCCCTCTCAGCTAGGGGAAAATCTAGATCGGAACATCAGTAGCTTCAGGAAAAGGAAAGTCTCTGTGGAGACTATAGAATGGGAACCCAGGTTCCCTGGAGACTTTCAGACCCCAAGGCCTTTGCCCTTGGGATCCTTCTCCAGACTCTCAGAATGTGGGGCTCTCTCCTGCCTGCATTTCTCATCTCTCATGAAAAAGACCCCTTTGTGGTGTATGTGCCAGCTCCCTGGTGGTGTGCTGGCACAGAGCTGGGCCCAGCTGGGCAGGAAGCAAGAGGGGAAGACAACGAGAGATAAAGAGAGGGAACATAAGGAGGCTGATGTCTGGGACTCAAGGGGTTAATTCTTCCTGGCGTTTCCTTAACCCCTAAGTTACCAATCATCACACAGGGGCAGGGAAGTGATGGAGGAACCAGGCAGGGGACCAGTCAGTAACCCCTCCTCTGGCCCTACATCAACCCCTGCCAGAAAAGTCATTCCTTCTTCCTAGCTCATTCAAACCATGGGGCAGCCTCAGTGACAAAGAGCAAGGGGTTTTTTGGCTGTGTGCAACATGGCAGATCTGACTTGGTGCTGCCTATCTTCTGTAGGACTTTTCCAGAGGGCCATCATCCAAAGTGGTTCTGCTCTGTCCAGCTGGGCTGTGAACTACCAACCAGTGAAGTACACCAGCCTGTTGGCAGACAAAGTGGGCTGTAATGTGCTTGACACCGTGGATATGGTGGACTGTCTTCGGCAAAAGAGCGCCAAGGAGCTGGTAGAGCAGGACATCCAGCCAGCCCGCTACCATGTGGCCTTTGGCCCTGTGATTGATGGCGATGTCATTCCTGATGACCCTGAGATCCTCATGGAACAGGGCGAGTTCCTCAACTATGACATCATGCTAGGTGTCAACCAGGGTGAGGGTCTCAAGTTTGTGGAAGGGGTGGTGGACCCTGAGGATGGTGTCTCTGGTACTGACTTTGACTACTCTGTCTCCAATTTTGTGGACAATCTGTATGGCTATCCTGAGGGTAAGGACACCCTGCGGGAGACCATCAAGTTCATGTATACAGACTGGGCAGACCGTGACAACCCTGAGACCCGCCGTAAAACACTGGTGGCACTCTTCACTGACCACCAGTGGGTGGAGCCCTCAGTGGTGACAGCCGATCTGCACGCCCGCTATGGCTCACCTACCTACTTCTACGCCTTTTACCATCACTGCCAGAGCCTCATGAAGCCTGCTTGGTCAGATGCAGCTCATGGGGATGAAGTGCCCTATGTTTTTGGGGTCCCTATGGTAGGCCCCACTGACCTTTTCCCCTGCAACTTCTCCAAGAATGATGTTATGCTCAGTGCTGTCGTCATGACCTATTGGACCAACTTTGCCAAGACTGGGTAAGGAGAAAATGGGGCTTTTTCTTCTTTGGGACCCCAGCATGCCCTCCCCTCTGCTCCTCTAGCCAAACCTCTCCCATCATCTCCTTCCTAAGATGTTCCCAAAATCTTGCTTGGTAACCTCTTCACTCCTCTTCCTACCCCCCCTTCTTGAGTCTTTTGTGCCATTTTCCTTCCTTTGGAAATCTTGTTGAGCCTAAGATATTGGTTAGCATCAGGACTGTGCAGGAGTGAGAGTTCCTGGCAGAACAATGGGAGTCAAGATTGGCTGGTCAAAGGCCATGTGAAATGGGAATCAAGTATGTTCAGAAAGAGCCTTTAGGTTCAGCATCCTCTGCTTGCTAATGGAAGGAAGGAAGGCAGGAAGGCCTTTAGGGGCTCTTAGCAAAATTGGACAGCTGAAAAGTTTGACAGAACCTCAGTAGCATGTGAGAAGAAAAGGCGTCCATAGCCTGATCTTAAAGGATGAGCGCAGGGAAAGATAAGGTAGGAGTTCAAGCCCTGGGGAAGAAAGGGGCATGGACAGAGGAAGGGACACTGAAAAAAGACAGAAATGGCGGGAAGTTTTGGACTGGGGAAGAGGTTGGGGGGCTGTGAAAGGAAGAATGTTGGGCCCTTTCCTCATTCAGGTAGAGTGGTGACCCCAGATTTCCATGTGGTATTTCAGGGATCCCAACAAGCCGGTCCCCCAGGACACCAAGTTCATTCACACCAAGGCCAACCGCTTTGAGGAAGTGGCCTGGTCCAAATACAATCCCCGAGACCAGCTCTACCTTCACATCGGGCTGAAACCAAGGGTCCGTGATCATTACCGGGCCACTAAGGTGGCCTTTTGGAAACACCTGGTGCCCCACCTATACAACCTGCATGACATGTTCCACTATACGTCCACAACCACCAAAGTGCCGCCCCCGGATACCACCCACAGCTCCCACATCACTCGCAGGCCCAACGGCAAGACCTGGAGCACCAAGCGGCCAGCCATCTCACCTGCCTACAGCAACGAGAACGCCCAGGGATCCTGGAACGGGGACCAGGATGCAGGGCCACTCCTGGTGGAGAATCCTCGTGACTACTCCACTGAATTAAGTGTCACCATCGCCGTGGGGGCCTCCCTCCTGTTCCTTAACGTTCTGGCCTTTGCTGCCCTCTACTACCGTAAGGACAAACGGCGCCAGGAGCCCCTGAGGCAGCCTAGCCCTCAGAGGGGAGCCGGGGCCCCTGAATTGGGAGCTGCTCCTGAAGAAGAGCTGGCAGCATTACAGCTGGGCCCCACCCACCATGAGTGTGAGGCTGCCCCCCCCCATGACACGCTGCGCCTCACTGCATTGCCCGACTACACCCTGACCCTGCGGCGCTCCCCTGATGATATCCCACTCATGACCCCCAACACCATCACTATGATTCCCAACTCTCTGGTAGGGCTGCAGACATTGCACCCCTATAACACCTTTGCCGCAGGGTTCAACAGTACTGGGCTGCCGCACTCACACTCTACTACCCGGGTATAGCTCCAGCCCAGAGCACAGCCCATCTCCCGCTTCCTCCCTCCCAGATCCATGAACACATGCACATGCAGACACACATACAGACACATACAGACATATATATATACACACGCACCCACACCCTACAGCAGACCCACCTTCACATAGACAGATGTGGACATGCACTCGCATGTACAAAAACACAAATATGGAAGTAATCCCAAACAAACCCTTCAAATGGGGACACAAATGAGTCCTTGGTAAACCAAGGACCCGTGGAACAACAGCTGAAGCCAGCTCCCTGAGCCTGACCACAGACACTCCTGGGGGGCCTGAAAGCAACAGCTGGACACCCCCTTGGTGCTCACCTTCGGCCTCTCTTGGAACTGCACCACCAACCAACTCCGGACTTGGGAACTTTAAAGAGCAGAGTAGCTCTTCCTCCCCCAGACTTGGTCTTTTTCTGGGTCTTGTTTTTGTTGATTTTTTTTTTTTTAATTTTGGAACAAATGCTTTTTCAGCCTGTGAGTGCTAAGAGGCTCTGGAAGGCAGGGCTCCAGGCCCAGGTCTCTGGCTCTGGAACCAGTGCTCACACAATCAAACCATGGATCAGGACCCCCAGGAAGGAAATAGATTCGAGCAGGACCATGGGGTGGAAGGAGAAAGGGGCTAATGTTGGATGGGGCTGGAGGGCCATAGAGGAGAGATCTCCAACTATCTCTGTGTCCCTGTGGAAGACAGCAGAGCTTACAGGGTGACCTGCTTCCCCCAAAGGCCAGCATTGGCCTGGCTAGACCAGGGGACCCTAGATTTGGTGAAGGAGGTACTATGGAGGCCATGACATTATTGGGCCCCTGTGTATGATCTGGGTTCTGCCTCTGCTCTTGGGGAAATGCTACCAGAAATTCGCCCCATTTTCTTTACAGTCTCTTTTGTGTCTGTCATTTCTCTTTCAAAAAGGCAGTGTTTTTTGTTGTTGTTGGCTTTTTTTTTTTTAAAGAAAAGTTCTTAAAACACTAACGGAAACCCATGGAGTTTGTCCTTTGTAAAAATTTTAAACACAGTGTCTTGATATAAAAATAAAAAATTCAGTTAGCACTCCCAACCTGCCTCCCTTGCACAGGCCTTGTCCCAACAGACCTCCAACCAGGGTGCCTCTGTGGGCTAGGAATCAGGCAACCAGGCAGCCTCCCTCTGCCTCTTGTATCTCTAAGCAGATGCAGGTCTGGGCTGTACTCTACTGGCCCCCTACATGAAGGTCTCTCCAGTCTTAATCAAGTTACTATCCCCATCCTCCTGCCCCCAACGCTCTGGGTTCCTGCAGTTGAAGCCTCCTCTCAGCACCTCAGGCCTCCAAATGAACCAGAAAAAGTAATCCTTCCTTCCTCTGCTGCACTGCTGCCTGCCTCCAACAACAACAACAACTCCTCCTCCTCCTCCTCCTCCTCCTCCTCTTCCTCCTCCTCCTTCTCCTGCTCTGCTGCAACCACCCTCCCCTCATCTTGGACTGGGGGCTGGGAGGAAACTTGACCTCAAACATGCTGAAATCTGTTCTCCTATCTGAATCCAGCACAGCATCAGATATGTGGACTTCGTGGCCTTGGGTGACTGACAGAGCAGGGGCCCTCTCCTTCCCCGGGGATACTTGTTTTCTGTTCTGTGAATTCCAATTGGAGAAGTTGTTGGGGCCCTGGGAGTAATTTATCTACAGGTTTATGATCAGTGGCTCCCTGTCAACCCTAGGGCACAGATTCAGTGGTGCCCCACGGGGTTAGCATTATGGGATTTCATATTATTCTCAGTGGCTTGAAGGACTGAACTGGGAGTCTGCTTGTCAAGTATGGGTAGGGTTGCTGTTACCTCAGAAACCAGGAATAGAATTCTTCAGATGACCCTGACAAAAATGAGGGAGATAAACCATCACAAGCAGGATGATGTTCAGAGTGGATGACACAAGGTAGTATGTACAAAGACCAAAAGCCAGAACTAATATACTAATATGGTACATGAGACAAGAGAGATGGGCAATGACTGACTTGACACATAAATGGTTTAAAAAAAAAAAAAGAAGAGCTGGGGAGAGGGTGTCATGGTGGGTCATAAGTTGAATTAGCCCATAGTGTAGAACTGGTTTTTCTCCCTTCTTTCTTTTCTTCTGTTCAAAACAAATGTGGATACTAGCAGATTGTAACAAAAATATACCAATGAGGAGCTGGGAAGTAAGCAGAGTGTGAGTTTTAGAACTAGAAGTAATTCCAGAGTCATCTAGTCCAACCCACAGAAAAGCCCATCACAGTGTTAGAAATAGACCTAGAATGCAGCCCAGTAATATATGACCCTCCCGATGATCCTATTCAACTTGTTCCACTCTACCTGCTATTGGTTATGAGTTTCAAAGCATAAAATGGGTCTACCCTTGGTCAACACATTTTTAGCATATGTGGAAAAACTGGTGAGGGTCTGGAAAAGAGTAAAAACAATGTGCCAAAGGACTAGGTGGTGAGTGTGTGTGTGCGTGCATGCATGCGTGTGTGTGTGCGTGCGTGTGCGTGTGTGTTTTATTTAGAAAAGAGAAAGCAGATGAGGTAACACTCAATGGTTGTGGAACTCCTACTATGTGACAAGTGTGCTATAACCATGTTCCAAATTTAACTGCTAAATAAGCACAGAGCTGATGACCTGCTCTCCATTTCTTCTGCGAATGATAGAGGAGAAAATGAGATTAAGTGAAACACAAGGAAAAACTCTGGATAGGAGATGATCACGGACACCCAGTGAGTCTTCAATAACAGTTGCCAACTTGAATGGATGGCTACTAAGGGAAGCTCTGGTATTTTTCATCTTCCTGAAAGCAGAGGGCTAGACTACATGATCTTTTGAGGTCAGTTCAGAGTCTTTGTTCTTATGTTCCATCCTTATATTGCTCCATTTGAGATATTACCAAATCGGGCCTCCTATTCTGGGGAGGTGGTGTACTTCCAAGTTAGGAGGCTCTCTATTTTAGAAAGATTTGAACACTGCCTCTCCCTTATGAACTCAAGGCACTGTAGCAAACCCAGCTCCAATCCTATTAGGGACTTATCAGTGAAAGATTATAATTAATCCTGACACCTTTGAAAGGTCTGGGTGAAAGAGGGGACCTCCTAGACAGGCATAATTTTCATTGAATTGACAGTCAATTCTGTGCCCATACAGCTTGAGTTTCTGAGCCTTGTTGCTGACTGCCTGTCCTAAGCCCAGCTAAAAAGTCCAGCTCTTTGTCTGAAAAGAAACTGAGGATATACTTGGATTTTATTTCACACTGCAAAATAATTAGTGCCTAGACTGGGTCTAGTCCACATCACAAGACTTATGTGGTTTCTATTTTAGTCCTTTAAGAAGCTGGACACAGCTATCATGGGATCTGAATTTGTGGTGTGTGGTGTGAAGGGTCAGAGGTTGATCACTGTGGAACTCTTCATAGGAAGTGTGGTTACCTGGACTGTAGCCTGTCCCTGTGCTAGTTTATATACTATGAGGCATAGAAAATATTCACCTTGGGGTGTATACTGTCAGGAAGATAAAACTGAACCATGATATGCAGAACTAGCACGTGGCTTCAATTTTATGGTAAAGGGTAAAGGGACTGGAGTGATTGTAAGATAGGCTATAAAGGGATTTGGCGGGGTGGTGTCCCATGCTACGTTGGGAGAAAAACCTCAGCCAGAGGATGGAGATGAGAAGGTCTAGGCATGCTTAAGGAGCAGTGAGGGACTGGCCTGGTGAAAGTTAAGTGGCAGAAAATCAGCTTGGCGAAGCAGGCTGTGAAGGTTTTCATCTCAGCAGAAGAGTTTGGCTATTATTGGATGAACAATGGGACAGACTGACTGAGAGAAAATGAAACCTCCACAGCTCCTCTTTCACTCCTTCTCTTCTACAAGGAAAAGGATTTTCAGACTGGAAAGGACAAGGTGAACACCAGAGAGAAGGTCCTGAAGGCAGTCTAGTTCAAGAGAGCCTTAAGCTGCTCTGAACAACTCTATCTCATCGCCTGAGTCAGTAAGCGCCCAGGGCACTTCAAAGACTTGCAGCTCAAGTTGCAGGACAACTGGTGGTAGCTTTGAAAACCCCATGGAGAATGGAAGAGATACATGCTGCAGTCTAGAGATGGACAAACATGGTCCCACCGTTTTACAGATGGGACACAGTGAACTCCACAATATATTTGCTACCGATTGAGGGCAAGATCCTAGGACAAATGATTAAAAGGATGGTTGTTGGGCACTTACAACAGAAAGTGAAAATCACTGCTCCTGCACGGATTCAGGAAAACAAATCATGCCCCATGCAGCTCATTCCCTTTGACAGGGTGACTGGATGCGTAGATGAGGGAAATGCTACACCCACAGTGTATCTGGAGTTCAACAAAACATTCTGTCAATACTCTTGGGACAATATAGAGAAACATAGGGTGGGTAAAAGTAAGCCTAGGTGAATTCTTAACTGGCCAAATGACTATACACAAAAGGGTTCTGTTTTAGTGTCATGAGATCAAATTTACAAATTACACAAAGGTGGTAAAGTTCCCTATTTGAATTCTAAGATGTAGCAGTACAAATGTAGGATATGAGAGATGTGGCTTAGAGGGTTTTTAGAGTAAATGAAAGCTCATGATGAGTTATCATGAGTCAAAAGTGTGGTTTGGCTGCTACAAAAAGTATTGCAAATGTGGGCTCTATTAACAAGAGTATAATGTTCAGAAAAAGGAGTTGATCACTTTGTGCTACTCTGTACTGGTCAGACCACAACCAATGCCCTCTGTTCCATTATGGACACCAGAGTTCAAGGGAGATGTTAACAAAAGCATATCCAGGAAAGAGTAGGGAGACTCGTGAGAGGACTAGAGACTTCCAGGAGAAATTTGTCTACTGTAGGCAAATCATTACTGGGCTCATGGGAAGAAGAAGCTGTAGATTTGTTCTGCTTAACTCCAAAGGTTCCAAGATCTAATGGATGGAAGTTATAGAAAAGCAGCTTTTGGTTCAACACAAGGAAGATGCTCTTTTTCCTCTTTTTTTAATAATGAAAAATTATAATAAAAGTTTTGGCTCATGATTCCAGCCTCTTGACGTCCTTTAAAATTTATTACCAACCGTTTCAAAAACAGAAGGAAAAAGTCCTAATCCCAACATCCTAATAGAAGCATGTTGCTGTGTTTGAGAAGAACTTTCCAATGTTAGAGTGTCCTACTAACATACTACTAATTGTCAGAATGGACTAACCAAAAAGTTGTCCATCACCAGAAATATTCAAGCAGAGACTCCATGTGGGTTATGTAAAGGCAATAAAGCATCTGATAAATGAATGAACCAGATGACCTCTAGGGTTACTGAGATTCTATCACACTTGAGCTGAAAGGTCTCATGGTACAGTATTCAGGAAAATATTTCTGGAGTGTAGGTGCAGGATGGCCTGGAGGGGGAGAGACTGGAAGCAGAGATAATAACTAGTTCAGAGGTACCTACTCTGAAGGCTACAACTATTTTCACCTCCACCTCCCCCCACTACTTGAATCTCAAAATTATAGTGTCAGAGGCAGCCTTAATGGTTGCCTAGTTCCCCTCCCTTGTGATGGTGCTTGATTCCCTTTTGCAGTCTCCTTGCCAAGTAGTTATCTTGCCTCTGCTTAAACACGTCTAGTGACAGAGAAATCTTTTCCTCTCACAAAAGCCCACTGCATATTGGATCATCACAAGCCATTATGAAATTCTACCTTAGGCTGAGTCAAAATCACCCCCCCTCCATTTTGCTCCTAATCTTGCCCTCTTATGAAGTAAAATGAGGTGAATCCCCTTCTATATTATGAACCTTCCTATATCTGTATTTGAAAACTAGATCACCCTGTTGATCCCTTCTCCAGTTAAACAGCTCTAGTAGTTAGTACATAACAATTTTTAAGTTTTCTCACACTCCTGATCTCTCTTTTGTATATGCTCCAGGTTGCTAATGTCCCTGTTCATGTATGGTGTCCAAGGCTAAAGACAATCATCCACTGTGGTCTAATGAGCAGAGAAGAAAGCAGAATTGTAATCTTCCCTATACTAGACCCACATATATTAGCATTTT